AATTTCATCCCGATTATTAAATGATCCAGTATTAATAAACAAACGTTTAGATCGCTGGAAATTACGCTTACGTAATTTGACCGAATTACAATTGCCTACAGATTATGCACGGTCGTTAACTCCAAAAGTTGTTGAAGATAAAAAAATTTTACGAATTCCTGAAGCCACGGCATTAGCAATTTTACAACTTTCACTGACCACTCAACCCGATTCTTCTTCTATTTCTCCAACACAAAACGATGAATCATTTCATGAACAACCAACTCCTTTCACTATTCTTTTAGCGGCTTTTGTTGTACTGTTACATCGATATACCGGTGATGAGGATATTACGGTTGGGTCATCTTCAGATACTAGGAATCCTCTTGTGTTAAGGATAAATGTCAACCCTTCGGATACATTCGCTCAGGTTATCCAAAAAGTTCAACAAGTAAGTTTAATTTTATAATTAAGGATGTGCAAATAATGAAAATTTCAAATTTCCTAGAGGCTACATAATTTATCTGGTCCGGTATAGTTGATTCAAAAATAGAACTGAACTAATTAAAGTTCAGTCCGAACTAAGTTTGAACTTAGTCTCGACCAAGTTTTCGAAGCTTAGTCTCTAATATCAGTTCAACTCAAGATAGTCTGAACTATTAAAGATTCATTCTAAACTTGGTATGAACGGAGTTCACATGAACTATTTAAAATTTCTAGTGGCCTGCATAGCAAGAATAATTTAAGCGAGCATTATGCAAACTGGCCCGAGTTAAAGGCTATGTTAACAATCCTACGTAAGCTTTCGAAATTTTTGCGTAGGATGCATAGCGGTTTACAATAATACTTCCATTAAGATTTACATCTTGTACTAATTAGTTATTATTTAATAATTACGAAGGTTGAACGAGAAGCGACGGCAGATGAAGTCCCTTTTCATTTATTAATTTCCTCATTATTTCCCGAAAAAGATCAAGGCCAAACATCAACTTCTATTCATTCACCTCTCTTTCGTGTTAGATTCTATAACCAAACTGACATGCCCGAAAATCCTTTACCACAAGCCATCTCTTTAACAACAGACCTCACTGTATTAATCGCATCGCATTCATCATCATCACTTCGCCATGCACTTCTTCCTGCCATAGAAATCCAAATTTCATATAATCAGCTCCTATTCTCTGAAAAAAGAATTTCTCATATTCTGGATCAACTTGTTGCAGTTTTAAATTATGCTGCTCAACATAATGAAACATGTGTTGCTGAAATTCCTATATTAACAGATAAATGTTTAGAAGTACTCCCTGATCCAAAATCTGATCTAAAATGGTCGCAATTCCTTGGCGCAATAACTGACATTTTTTCCGCAAATGCCAAAAAGATTCCCAATAATCCGTGTGTTGTAGTGTCTACTGGTGATATTTCTAAAAAACGTGTCTTCACTTATCAGCATATCAATGAAGCATCAAATATTGTTGCTCATTATTTAATAAAAAATGGAATTGAGAGAGAAGATGTAGTAATGGTCTATGCATATCGTGGTGTTGATTTAGTGGTTGCTGTTATGGGTGTTCTC